CTCGTGCGCGTTCTTTTGGCCACAATAACCGGCATCTGGACCAGACAGTTGCCAGAAGCGTCCAAGGTGTTCTTTGCAAACCAACTGCGGCATGCATCAGAGCCAGCACTCGGCATTGGCAAACATCAACCATCAAAAGACACCAACAGCAGCAGCAGCAGCAGCGCGACGCCAACCACCGCGATTGTGCACCATCCCCCACGCCGCGCACCTGCGCTGATAAAAGTGATGCACTAGATGAAGACGAACACACGCACTCACACACACACACACACACACACACACACACACAATGCACACACACACACACACACACACGCACATACACACACAATGCACACACAATGCACAACATACGCATACGATGCACAAGGTATCTGGCCGAGCTGACGCAATCACGACAAGTTAAAACAGCAGTCTTCATCAAGCAAAAACCATAGAGAACGACAAAAGTGGATACATAGTCAACAGCACGCACACGTGTGTGGTTCGAATAAGAGGCCTGTCAGCAGTTATCAGAGTATCATCAGCATCAAGCGAGCAACAACAGAGGCGAGGTGTGTGTGTGTGTATGTGTGTGTGTATGTGGAAAGAAGAATAGGATCACCAAAGTGGACTGTGGAGCGGTGTTCACCCGTTGGATTGGCGACAGCAAGCAAGGATGGCTGTATCCGGCATCAACAGCAACGTGTCTTCATCAACAGCGTGTCATCACCAACATCATCATCATTGTCGTCATCGTTGTCGTCATCATCATTGTCGGCATCATTGTCTTCATCATCATCATTGTCGTTGTCATCATCATCGTCATCATCATCATTGTCGTTGTCATCATCATCGTCATCATCATCATCGCTGCCGTGGTCACCACACCATGGTCGCACCGGCCCCACAGACCATCACAGGCCATCGAAGCGTGCTTTGCGCCACATGATGAGGTTGTCGCGAAGCAATTGCATAATGGCAGAGACGTCGCGGTGGTCTGCATTGCGCAATCCGTCCAGTGCCTCCAGAGCGGACTCAAACGCCTCCTCGGTCATGCGGCAGGCAAGGCCCGTGTTGCCAAGAATTTCCTTCTCAAACACAGCATAGTTCAGTACAAGGCCTGAACACACGCAGCAAATACACATGAGTGGGTTGAGGAACAAGCGGTGTGAGAAACAAACTTGAAACAAACGTGTGCCTTGTGAGCAGTGTATGTTGTGTGTAGGTGTGTTGTGGTGTGTGTGTTGTGTTGTGTTGTGTGTGTTGTGTGTGTGTGTGTGTTGTGTTGTGTTGTGTGTGTGTTGTGGTGTGTGTGTGTGTGTGTGTTGTGTGCGCAACAATCGACACAATATTGGATGACACCCATCGAGTCACGACGTTGTGTGCTCGTACCAAGGTAGTTTGGGTCTGCGGGTCCCCAGCATTCGTGGGCGAGCGTGTACGCGTTCTCATACGCGGACTTGGCCGCTTTGACTGTATCCTGAGATGTCGCAACACACGCACATGGAGAGCATGGTGATGGCATGAGCGGATATGCAGGTGTATTCTTGGTGCCAAAGCAATGAAGTCAAACGCTCACAGACAAACACACACGACACACATAAACAAGCAGGCAGATGGGTGTCATCATTGCAGTGGCGGTAAGTCACTCGTACCGGCATGACCGTGCCCGTGTGTCCCCAAAAGGCATCAATCTCCGCCAGGTAGCGGAAGTAATCGCCTGTTGTTCACCGCCATCACACACACACATGTGTTAAAAAGGTTGAAGTGAGTAAGTTGAAACGCCATCGCTTGACACACACACACACACACACACACACACACACACACATAGAGTTGTATCTGCGCACCCTTCATCTTGTAGAAGAAGAGCTTGGCCTCCTTGGTGTGGAGACGAGGCATGATCTTGTTGATGACCTGGAGCGATGCAGGGCAGCATGTCGCGGGTTGATGTTGAAAGGAAGGGGGGGAAGGAGGAGGAGGGATAAGTATGAGGAGTGAGGACGAGAAGAAGAATGGGAAGGGGGTAAGCACAAGAAACACACACACACGCACACAGACACACACACACACACGCACAGACGCAGCACAGGCACACAGACACACACACACACACACGCACAGACACACACACGCGCGCGCGCACGCACGCGTCACTCACGTCGACGACGTCCCAGCACAGGTCCACGAGCTCCTTCTCGACGCTGCGGAGGTACTCCTCCTGCTTCGACTGCAGCTGCTTCGCCTGCGGGCGTGAGTGGCGGGAAGTAAGGACACATTTCATTGTGTGAACGTGTGTGCATGGCAACGCCTTGCACGCACGTAGGAGTAGCGCACGCGTGCATGTGCACGTGTTCATGCGAATGCGCCACGACACATGATACAGCGAACATTGCGTACCGGCTGGGAGCTCGCCAGAATTCTCCAGGATGCACGCCGTGGAACTAAATGATAGCGTGTAAGCAGCGTGTGTGAGGTGGTGGCGGTGGTGCACTAGCAACAAAAGCAGGAGCAGAGAAGCAGAGGAGATGGCGGGCTAATTGTAGCAGACAAACAGCAGCCGTGAGTGCTCACCGACGAGGTGGCGGTATGCGGCGGCAAAGAGGTGGCGGTCTGTAGAGGAGATTTCGCCCTCCGTGGCCAGCACAATGTCGCGGACCACATCAACCTGAAGTAGGGTGCATTCGCATGGGGGTGCATGTGCTGTACATGAGCGGGGCTTGAATGCTGGCGGCTTGCACGACAACGTTTTGACACCCGCAAAGTTCACACACACACGCACGCACGCACGCACACACACACACACACACACACACACACACACACACACACACACACACACACACAGACACACACACACACACACACATGTCGCACCATGTCGGTGAATCTGCCGGCCTGCTCGGCCATGCGGGCCATGAACCGTTGCTCCTTGACCGGGCTCATGGCCATGGCCGGTGGCATTGCGGTGGTGAAGGTCGTCATGATAGGCGGCGGGCGGGCTCGTCGTATCGAGATGCTGATGCTGACGGCGTTGGCTCTTGGATCGTTCGTGCAGTTCTCACACAGCTCGTTGACAGGGAAAATGAGCTGACGGAAGATGGTGGGATGAGTTGGTGGGTGACATGCGCAGCAGCAGTTCGTTGCCGATGATGTGATGTGTCTTGGCTTGCGTGGCTTGCGTCGTGTGGATGGCGTTGTTGGTGTTGCTCGGTCCTGACTCACCCACCTCCTTGGTGGTGACTTGGTTCGGGCAGGGGTGGCGGCGTTACAATGCTTTCCGCAACGCAAGACTGTCTGTGTGGGAGTGTAAGTGCGTGCCGCGTGGGGATGTGGGAGGACGCTGTGTGGTGGTGGTGGTGATGTCGTGTGTGTCTTCTTGCTTTTGTTGCTTGTGTGCTGTGGTGTCAGCCCATCAACACTTCAACGAAGAAGAGGAGAGGGAAGGCACGCGTGAGAATTCGAATGCGCGATTCGCGTGCGTCCGGAATTGCGAATGTGTCGTTTGTTGTTGCGTCGGGGGCCGTTTTTCGCGGGCTCGAAAAGTGGCGAAAATTACGTAAGACTTAAAACATGACAAACGCGTTTTGTTCATGCACCACAAAAAAACCACGGACTTGGACCGGTGTGTTTCCACAATTTCGACTGAAGGGAAAGACGATGACAACGCATCAAGAGCCAAAGGAAGGCGCAGCCTGCATGGTGCGTGTCGACGAAGATGGGTGCTGCTGCGCTTGCTTGTTTGTTTGTTTGCTTGCCTGTTTGCTTGCTTGCTTGCTTTGTGTCGCTGTTTGCCAGCTTCTTTGCTCGCTTCTCGCGCTCCTTGCGTCCTTGCTTTGCTTGACCATGCTCATCGTACACGCACGTGTGCGTGCGCAGTGCTGCTTTGATGAACTGCGCAACAAGGTCGGCAGTGAGGGTGAGGATGAAGAGCCCATCAACTACGTCGAGTACCGCACATCGCCGTCCAGCCCGTGGAAGCCATCCGGCTACTGCGAGGTGTGTGTGTGTGTTTGTCTTTGCGCATGCGTGGTGTTTCACACGCCACAGTATGTACACGCACACACACACGCACACACACACTCTCTCTCTTCTCTCTCTCTCTCCCACACACACACACACACACACACACACACACACACACACACACACACAAACACAAACATGTACGTGCGCACATGCACTCATATGCACACTTGCAGGACTGCTTGAGGCATCTGATGTCCATCAAGTTCAACAAGTTCCTCGATGATGTCAAAAAGGCAGACTGCGGGCGCAGCCTGCGAAACCTCTTGCTCGCCGGCCCGCCGCTGTACATGAAGGATGCCACGGCTCTGCCTGTCGACGATGACGAAGATGACAACGGCCCCAAGAAGGCCAACGACGATGATGACGGCGACGAAGAGAGCAAGCCGGCAGCGCAGGCAGCGACCAAGGAGGTGACAGAGCTGTGGTTTGCGTCCAGCGATTCCGAGGCGCCTGCCAAGGTGGACAACGCCGTGGAAGGCACCGAGCGCTCAAAGCTGTGGCTGCAGCTGATTGTGGACAACAAGGCACGGCTCGACGACTCAACTAGCCTGGACAACCTCATCGCCACACTCAAGGCAGAGGTTGGCGACGCAGAATGAGGGGGTGCGTGTGTGTGTGCGTGTGTGTGTGTACAAGTGTACATGTGTGTGCGTGTGTGTGTGTACATGTGTGTGTGAATAAGTGTACATGTGTGTGTGCGAAGAAGTGTACATTTCCTGTTTCTGACGGGGCATACTTGTTCCACCCATTCCATTCATGTCGTTTATTTCCCGAGGGCCATGCCGAGCGGTAGTAACTGTTGTAGCGATAACGGTGATGTTCGTCTATCTGTGCTTCTTAATGGAACTCTGTTTAAACCGTGGAACTTCCTCCAACAAAAATGTCCTGCGTGTACGTGGACGTGAATATGCGTGAAAATGTGTAAATGTGTGTGTGTGTGTGTGAGCGCCAACGCACGCGAACCGAAGCAAGCGACGCCAAGGTTGCACCACAGAAGAGTACACACACGTACACACACACACACACGTGTACACTGGTGCACCTGATGCGCGTTGCGAGCTCTGTGCCGTGCCAGCGGGGGCTGTACGGGTACTCGCTGTACTGCGTACGGATTGGGTGCCCAGCAGCATCGTCGTGGTAGACAGACTGCAGTATGAGTGTCGGCTGCTGCTCCGGGAAGCGTGAGGAAATGCGCACGTGCAGAAGCACATGAAACTGGTCCACCTGCCACGGTGTGTGTGTGTGTGTGTGTGTGTGTGTGTGTGTGTGTGTGTGTGTGTGTGTGTGTGTGTGTGTGTGTGTGTGTGTGTGTGTGTGTATGTAAATGAAAAAAAGAACGACACAAACGCACGACAGCATCGGGACGGAAAGTGTCGCAGGGGAAGGAGAGATGTATCCCGACAGCTCCTTCCCCCCCCCAAACAAAAAAATCTAAATAGTGACCTCACA